ACATGTATTACGTTACTCCCCAACACTGTATATGTAGAGCAATATGCAAAGTCAATGCTTGGTGATGTTGGGATTTTCTAAAGTGATGAAGTTTCCAGTACAGTCCTCTTAAAGAAGTCGTTTATATTTGTAAGCACAAGTACTGTAAATGCTGCAGAGAACTACGGGGACCTCAGGAAGACTCCTCTCTACTTCGCTGTGTCCAACGGTGATGTGACCTGTTCGGAGAGGTTGCTGGCGGCTGGCGCGAGAACTGACCTGGATCCACTGCGATGCATACTGGTTTCTATACGTGCTGAGAGGTAAATAGCGTATGTACTGTAAAAAAGTATTTGCCCCCTCCTGATTTCTTTATCACACTAGCGTGTTTCCTATCGTCACACATTTTAAAATTAGACAAAGCTAACCCGAGTAAATACAAAGTACAGTTATTTAACAATGATTTAATTTATTAAGGGAAAAAGCTGGTCCAACCAATCTGGCCCAGTGTGAAAAAGTAATTGCACCTGCTTGGTGCAATTTAACTGTAATTAACTATATTTTTATAGAAAGCTGAATTTAGTCACTATTCACTATTCAAACCCAGGCCCGATTATTACCTACTGAATGAGGAATTTGTGTGAAAAAGTGAAGGAGGCTAAAAGATCTCAAAAATCAGCTCATTGTTTTAAAATTTAAAGAAACTTAAGAACAGATGAGAAACAAAGTCATTGCTATATATCAGTCTGAAAAGGCTTACAAAGCCTTTGTAAAGCCAACATTTCCTGGAGTGCTTGGCCTACCAAAATTACTCCAATGATCATGTCATATTTACCAAAATGTGGCCTAGTCAAAGCCAACCACTTATTAGATTTAGAGGACAATTACTGTGTCAAATATTTAGTGTTTACACAGGTTACCTTTGTCTATTATCTGAAACATGCTCACAGGCAGTCAATTCAATTCAATTCAATTCAATTTTATTTATATAGCGCCAAATCACAACCCACGATCTAATGAACATTTTTGTCTCTGTTCTGTTTTGTGTTTTGCCCCGCTCTCTTCCTGTTTATCTCCCACTCACCCACCCGATCTCTCTCT